GGACAGCTAGATACTGCCAGAATAGCAACTACCAATGCTTCCTGCTAACAACAGGAGAGGATTAGATATCCCCCTCATTTTCCATCTTTCAGAAGCTGGGGATATACATGCATTCAGTCACCTGCTTCAGCACTATTTGGCTTCCTGTGGAAAACTACTAGTCCAGTAAAAATGAAAAGGCATCGCAACGTGGAGTTAAGAACACTAATAACCTGAATTTGCACCTTAACTTAGAGCCCATGCCTCTGTAGATTTAAGCCTTGAAACTAAGACAATTGTTGTGACACAGGTAGAATAAGCACCGACCTCTTGTGGTAAAATGCTTAGAGCAGCAAATATTTAGTATTAAGCCAGTCAGGACCCATTTCCTCTAATTAAAATATTTTCATCCTGGTGCTGTTTCATCACATACCACCAAACGAAAAAATGCATTTCTTTAATTCAGTGCTGCTCTTAGAAGTGATCCTATTGAGCTGGAAGACCACAGTCTCTTTGGACTGTAAAATCAATCAGAGACCACCTTCTGAGGGGCAGCTGATGGCACAAGCCCCACAGCATGCTGGGGAGAAGTGAACTTCCTCGGATGAGACTAACAGTACCTGCACGGGAGGAAAATGAAAGCAGGTCTATTTATTCTCTAACTTACCGCTTGGCTTCCAAGTGTAAAAGCTCCAGCAGGACTTTTTTTTTTTTTTTTTTTTTTCCCCTAGGTTTACAACTGTTGCTGCTATAAAACCTGTACTTGGGGTTGGAATTGAACGTATTAAACTTCTTCATACGGCTCAGGAGCTTACAGCCTTTCCTTAGCACCTCTTCATGAAAGTCCTGTCGAGTCAGTGATTACCAGGGGGACGTGGAGACAAGGTGTTCGTACAACTTCTTTTGATTGCTGGTGTCCTACTGTCTACAGCGATGAAGAGCACCCTTAGCTAGCTGTATTACTCTACCAGACACCACCAGATTAGATCATGAGAAGCAAAAATAATACAATTTAGATACAGGATATTGCATAAGGAACAGTTAATGCCGTGCACCTCTGCATTTATGGTGCCTGATTTCCTGTAGCTTCCTCTGTTGTGGAGTCTATACTGTCTACTAGTGCAGCTTGGGCACACTGCAGCCTTCCCCTCTCTAAGGGCACCAATTCCTTCTTTCCTAGCAGCTGCCTTTTGCCATGGAAATTGCAGAATAGTTCTGCAGCTTTGACAAAGGTCAAGGTTAGTCACACAGCTAAAGCATCATTTTTGGAAGAGAATAAGTGAACCAACCTCATTGACTCAGGAAATGAGTTTGCCGATGTAGTTTTTGTACTGCTGCAAAGGCATTTATGTAGTTATCGTAGCACTTTAAGTGGTGTTTTCCAGATACTTCTGAAAAAAGCCACAGGAGGAAATTCCCATAGAAGTTGAGAGGAGTATTTCTGTTAACTTCATCTGTTTGTTTCATAGCAGCTAGGATTTCACCTCTGATTTCTACCCTACGTTGTACAAACTGAAGATGAAAGACAGTTGTAACTTGCCCTCCAACTCATATGCCGCAAGATTTACAAGATGTAAAACAAATCTTGGCTACAAAGAAGTGACTGAACCACAATATTTGAAGCCAAATGAACAAGCAAGCCAAAAGTACCTACCAAAAAGCAACTGAGAACAAAGCTACTTAATATTTGGGAAGAGCAGTACAACGTGGACAAAAGACATATAAAAGTGAAAGATTACAACCACAAGCTGAAAATAATGACCTGGGGATGGGAGGAACGCAGGGTAAGGAGAGGAAGATTGTGGGGCCAGGGACTAGGAGGGAGTGAGAGATGCTCTTTAGATGGAGTTGGAGATGGAAATAGAGAAGCCACTGACACTGGGACTGGCCCTGGCTGGTCAGAACTTAAGTTGTGCATTAACCAGCCGACATTCTTCTTTTCCCTTATGCCTTCCATGAGATGCACTTGATATTTTCTTTAAAATCTTCTTTAAAGCCTGATTTTAAGGACTTAGGACAGAGTCCCTGTGTTCCTACTGTTTATTATGCTGAGTTCTTTACCAACTTAATTTTTATAGGTCTCTAAGTGCTGGTGCAATCACAATAGTATGCTAAAAGGGAGACAGGAGACACAAGGGGAATAGCAGACAGAAATCATTCTACGTGCCAGGCTTGTAGCTAAACTGAGTTACCTTCAAGCACTCAGGGAACATGAGAGTAGAGAGAGCAAGATATAACAAGAGTGTGAAGCCGAGTTTTGGGCAAAGGGTCAGGAAAACACTTTTTCAATCATATAGAGAAAACTCAGGAGTTAAGCTGCAATGTAGGCTACGAATGAAAAAGCTGTGGCCATGCTAATGCAACACCACATAGAAGCACATTGAAAGATGAGATTGTGAGTCTTTTGTGCGTGTTTACAAAATTACTTAAAACCATGTTTACTCCCACAAGACAGTCCCCATAAATATAATGAAAATAAACTTCTTTCCCAATGCATTGCAATATCACTTGTTACAAATATATCTAAATGGCTTATTTTTGATCCTACAGTTTCTGTGATCCACTGAAAAATCTTGTGTTTTCAGTAATTTTTTCCTCACAAGATGGAAACAAAAAAACCTAGCTAAATGCCCATTATGAAAATATAATTTTATTCAAAATCAAAGCTGAACTATATTTTCTTATAAACTAATATAGTCTAAGCATACTGTGAAAGGCAGATGTAGCATGTACCCAAATTTGCTTTTTGCTTCTCTACAAACCAACAACTGGTATCTGAGGACCAGCACAGGCTGAACGTACTAAAGAAACCCTATCTCTAAAACACAAATATTTAAAGCTTACAAAAATGTTTACTTCACTGTTGAACATTTTTTATCCCATTTGGGAAACAAACTTCTTTATCGAAGTTCCTTTCTGTTTGTATGCCTACGTTGCGTAGCACAAGGCAATATTTGAAAAAAAGAATTTGCAATGAATCAATGGAAACCTTCTGGCAGTATTTCAATTGGTCCAACATCTTGTAAAACTCGGCTTACAAAACCAAAATAAGGCACGTTCAGTCCGTTGCCTTATGAAGAAGTGACATGTGCTCTATTTTGAAGATAATTTTAAAGACTTATAATGAAGATGTGACGATAAAGGTTGCTGGCATAAGTTTAGGATGTTCACGTTACGAGTGATGAAGACACATCGGTGAGTTATGCAAGTTATCTGAAACAAGTGCCAGAAATCCTTTTACCAAATCATCACACACTCTACATAACACTTAGCTCACTATAACCCTTTTCATATATGCATCTCCCAGCCTTGCACAAAGGAGAAAGTAAAAGCTATTTTAGAAGTAATTTAGGAAGCTTAAAAACCAGCCAGTCACTGTGAAATTTATTAGCATCTTTTCTAAGCCTCACTTCAACTGCCAGTTTATTGAAAAGTGTTATTCTAGTAAAATCCTTAAAAGGAATGTCTCAAGGCTTTCAATGGCTACAAAGGACACTTGTAAAGTTAGCTGCTCTCATTAGTATACAGAGGCAAGGATTTGGGGAGGGGGAAGGAGGGGGATGCAGAATCGATGCATAATTATCAGTGGCAAAAATTCAAGTCAACCATGCCAGCTTTCAGAATTTCAGCTGACAGCCATACATATACTTTCAACCGTAGTTGTGTAACAACTCAGGCTCCATTGGCTATGCTCGGTATTTACCCTGTTTCCTCCAGCTCTTTTAGTAATTACACTACTCATCAAGGGGTCAAATTCAACATCAACACAGCAAACACCTATCTGGCTGAGCATCTAAAGGACAAATACGAGAACAACTAGTTTTTTAGGTGTTGGTCAGTGGTGATACTTGAAGTTAAGATTTCTTTTGAAATTGAAAGGTTTTTTCCCCCTCAATTAAGAAACAATATTTCAAATAACAATTCCTTTGAAGGACAACCTACACATTAACATTATTGTACTAAAGGATAAGAACTGAATCCTTTCCAAGTTGTGCAAAATGCCACAAAAGCAGCATGAGAAAAAGGACTTCAGATGTTAGTAATTAAGAAGGTTCTGAAATGTGTTGAACTTCTTCCTTTGCATTTTACATGCTTTGATATGGAAAACCTGCATTCTACTTATAAATTAATCAAGATAAAGCTAGTAACATCACATACTGTTCCTAGCACATGAGAAATTCAGTGAGACGTTATAAAAACCTTCAGCATCAGTTTCTATCAGTAGGTAGTAGCAGAGAAAGAAATCTAAAATATTTTGTGGATTTAATGTATTCTTGGAAGAACTAATCGCACAAGTAAACGTAGCTGCTCAAATTGCTCTCCTGGACAAAGGCAAACATCTTCCATTTTCTTTCATGTGGGATTGCTACCTTCTTCAAAGGAGAAGCTTTTTACCTCAAATTGAGTGGGGGTTGGGAGATTGTTATGCTCCGGTCTGTCTGATGTGTTCAGTTCTCATCTTGAAGCTCATTCTTTGACTCCTAAAAAGCTAACGTAGGATTTCACCAAGGAAGCCATTCAGAATAGGTATTGGAACTTAATCATCACCAGCATCAAATTCTCTGTTTTACAGATTTAAAAAAACAAAACCATCGATGTCTAGACATCTCCTCCACCCCAGAGAAAGGAGAAAAAAAAACCCCAAACAAGTAACCAACACAAGCTCTGTTCCTTCCTCAATAGAAGATACCCAATTTTGGTTTCAGTATGATTTGACTTATAAATTCCAACAGCCACATTCTCGGCTGCTCGAAGGGGCGTCTCACAGCTTACAAATGAATGCTGCTGGCAAACAAAGGGGCTCAGTTGCATCTCTGTGCATTAATAACCGGTGTCCCACTGCATTAGACTATGCGGATTGTTGTGGGGATAGGATTTTTTTTTTTTTTTTTTGTCTGCAAAATGGAGATCTCGCAACTGAAAGATCAAGGGGAACATGCCTTCTGGAGCATCATCCACATAGTTTTGTTATCACGAACCAAAATTCACTTCCCCTTAACAATGAGACACAGACCCAAAAATAAAAACAAGACCACGTTTATTCAATACAGACAGGTTAATTAAGACAGTAAGTCCTGTAAATCAGGAACACATTTCAAACACTCCGGTACGAAGTGCATATATTTAAAATCAACAGCTGCATCTTGTATTTGAGCCATTGAGTTTGTCAGGGAAGGGTGGATTCAGTTTTTTTTTTTTTCTTTTTGGTAGAAAAAACTTGTTTCGGCTACCTTATGTGAACAATGCATCTCAGGCTCCATTCACTCATCAGGCTTTACAACTGTAAGTCCGGCTGCCTTCCAGCTTTGATATTCACATTTTTTTTTAAACTGCTTCATACAGTCACAACGGGAAAAAAAAAAAATAATAATAAACGTTAAAATAATAATAATAAAAAACCCAAACAAAAACAACAAACCAGCCTGGGAGGGGAAAGGGAACACCTCCCGCCGGGGTCAGCGAGAATTATTGCAAATGGCTCCTGGGAGACGGAGCCCGGCGGCGGAGCAGCCCCGCGGCGGCCGGGGGGGACCGGCGGCGGGGGGGGGGGGGGGGGGGGCGCCGCGGCCCCGGCCGGGGGAGGAGGAGGAGGAGCTCCCGGTGAAGGCAGGGGAACGCGGCTGGGGGGGCCTCGCCAGCACCTCGGTGCGGGCGGCGTGCGCGGCCTCCGCCGGTTGGGAGGCGGCGGGGCTCGGCGCCACGCCGGGGGTGACCTTGGGGTGGCGGGGGGGGAGCGGGCGGACACCCGTCCCACCCCAACCGACCCCGCCGCGCCCGGCAACGAGAGGCGGGGGGAGGGGGGCCCGAGGGGCCCGCCGTCCTCCGCCGCGGGGGGAGACTTACATCGCGGCGGAGCCACCACAGCGCTCCCGCCGTCCGGCCGGCGGGGCGAAGCGGGGGGGGGGGGGGGGGGGGTTGTTGCCGCCGCCGCCCCAGCCGCGCTCCTCCGTCCCGGCCGCCGCCGCTCGTCCCCGCCGGCTACTGCAGGGGCTGCACCGCCGCCGCCTCGGCCGCCTCGCCGTCCGCGCCGCTGCTCCCCGCCGAGGCGCTGCCGCTGGAAGCCGTGGAAGCCGCCGCCGCTGCCGCCGCCGCCGCCAACTGCAGCCGCCGGACGGCTTCTTTGATGAGGTTGCCGGAGAGGATGAGCTGCTGCAGGAGCCGGTGCGGGTCCTCCTCCTCCGCCGGCCCGTCGCCCGGCCCCGGTGGCGGTTGCTTCCTCCGGCGGGCGGCGCTCCGCAGCCAGCCCCGGCCGCACAGCTGCTTGGTGACCCGCTGGTGGCCGCTCCTGTCCGCCCGCGGGGGCTCGGCGTGCGGCGGGTGGGCTTGCGGCAGGGCCGGCGCCAGCAGGCCCCCCCCGCCGCCGGTGCAGCGGGGCGAGTAGGGGGCGGCTCGGTCGCGGGCGCTGCCGGGCCCCAGGTGCTTGGGGGCGCGGGGGGGCGGCGGCGCCCGCTGGGCGCTCAGCTGCAGCACCTCGCCCAGCTTGGCCACCAGCGCGTCCACCTCCTTGGAGCCCGCCTGCCCCACGGCGACCGAGCGCTCCAGCAGCAGGAAGCGCTCGCCCGGGCGGCACGGCATCTCGGCCGGCGCCCTGCCGCGCCGGGACCGGGACCGGCACCGGGAGCGGGACCGGGGCCGCCGCCCGCCCCGCGCCGCGCGCACGCGAGCACACGCGGCTCCGGCGGCTGCGGTTGAGGCTGGAGCTCGGCCCGCTGGGGTTGGTTTGTAAACAATGGGTGACGCGGGATCCCGGGCACCTCCCACTACGCCGGGCGGGGGGGGGTGGGGGGGGGCGGGGAAGGGAGGGGGGGAAAGCCCCCGCCACCAACCGCCCGCTCCCGGCGCCAGCGCCTCTGTCGGCGGCCGGGGCAGACCCGCCCGCCGGCGCAGGGCCGGCTCCGGCGGGCAGAGATCGCCGGCCAGGGCGAGCCAGCCCCGCGCCCACCGGCCGCGCCGCTCCCTGTCCCCCCCCCACGTCTGCGCGCCGCGTGGACCGGCCCGCTTTCAAACCCCGCACCTCGGGCCCCGGGGGCGGGGCCGGGATGACTGGCAGGAGGGGTGTGAGGGGGCGGGGCGGGCGGCCCGGCTGAGGGGAGGCGAGGGGCCGGCCGGCGGGAAGCGGGCGGGGAGGGGGGGTGGGGGGACGCTGAGGGCGCCGCCCGGTCGCCTCAGGCCAAGTTCCCGGAGGGGAGGCGGCGGGGCGCTCGGGGGGGCGAATGGCGCTGAGGGGCAGAGGGAAGGGTGGCCGCCCGCCCGCCATCCCCCTGAGGAGCTTCCTCCGGCGCGCCTGCCCCCCTCGCTCGGTACCGTCTGTGCCCCAGCCCCGCCGGCCTGACGGCTGCTGCCCCGGCGAACCGAACGGCTCCGTGTGCGAGCGGACGCCGGTGCCTCTCTAACCGCCTGCCTTGCTGCGCCGGCGAGACAGCAGTTGTTTCTGCTTTCCACGTAGCACTGCACGGGCGAAACGCAGTGGCCCGCATTTTCCTCAAATAGAGCTCGCGTTATCCACTCGTGCCTCCGAGAGCCGAGCGTTAACGTTGCGATTCCCGTTAATAGCCATCTCCCGCAAGGTTCAGTTTTGAGATGGCAACACCTTCACGCTACAGCGCCCGGTTCGGAGGTCACACCGCAGTGCTGGGCGGCCGCCGGTTCACGCTCAGCGATCACGGTTCTTGTGCTTGTAATGCCTGCCGTGCATCCGGCCCGTATTGATTTTGAGTTTAATTCCTCGGCATAGAAAGGCCTTTGGGGTCTTATCGTTAGAATTATCAGACGTGAAGTCTGTGCAGGTGTTCTCTCGGGTTTTCTACCTGCCTGCGGTTTACTTCATCACCTGGACCAAGGCTCTGTCCTGCCTCTTCCTGTCCCAGTCTCATTTCTTCCCTTGAATCCATCACCATGTCATTTAAGCGAGTGCTGAAGTTTCTATGATGAGCCTTCAATAACACTTTCTGGATGTCAAAACTGTGGGGGCATAGTCCAGAACGCTCTCCTTCACGTAACTTGGGCACGTGGTCACCACTGCCAGGGAACAACCGCTAGTAAAATGGAAGCTGCTCACATACGTAACTGCTATCAGCACCATGCCCTTGATTAATCAGTAAGCAGCTGGCAAAGGAGAGGGCATGTTCTTTGGTCCGTTTGTCCATGTTTTCCTGAGCTACTTTCACTTGCTGTACAAAACAAGAGACCCTGCGGAGCCGCGGAAGAACGACATGCCAAGACGGGTTCAATGTGGGTGATAGAGCATCAATCAACATGTGTCTTTATTGGTCTGGGTACATATATTTATACAGACAACGCTAATTATTATGCCTACTAGTCACTAGCTGATTGGCTTAAGCTCTAAAGGTCGTATTCGCACGGTCCACCTACTTGCAGTTAGCTAACAGCACAAGCTTCTCATAACACTAAGTTTCTCATGCTACTATTTCTAATTCCTCTTGACTTGTTTTCGATACACAACGGTACTATAACACAGTTTCTCAGACCATCGTTACCGTAACACTAGGTTTCTCAGACCACTATTCCCAATTCCTTTCAACCTGTTTTCGACACACCACAGTACACAAGGCCGAAGCGTCCTTGACACTCTTCATGTATCAGCAGCTGCAAGCAGCTGCAGGCAAACCCTAGTGAGGCCCAGCATCAGCGACTAGAACAGGCTCTGATCGTACAATTGCTCGGTGGGCTCATGACCCTTGTCTCTGAGCCATTCTCCAACAAGACCCTGTGTCTATGTGTACGTGTTTGTGAACGTGCCTGTCACCTGAACCTGTTACAAGTTGCTCCAGCCTAGGTGTCCAAGTCCATTATTGCATCTCCAGGCTGAATTTATATGAGCTGGGCATAAAGCATGCTACCTAATTGCATATTATTTGTTCATATATGTATCTAATGTACTGATTCTTTCTTATTTTTGGCACCTTCTTGGTCACTAGCAATCAAAACTCAGATCACATTGTTCTATAGATAATGAAAGAGTGTGATCTTTCTCCCCACACCAAAATATTTTTAAGAAAATACATCTACCCTTATTCACTAATTATGCAGTATCTTTTCAAGCAAAATAAAGGCAGGCCTGCATAGATGCAGTGGATGGATCTACTTCAACTCCAAAGCAGATCTATATTCAGAGCACTTCCGAGTAGGTAATCTGGTATTCTGTACAAGCAAAACTGCAATAAACCAGTACAGCTTATTTCAGCCTTTCCTTCTCCTCCCACAAAAGCAAAATAAGCTATACCAGCAAAAACTCGGTGCTGCTTGTGATTGCATCTACACCTGGGGCTTTCATGAGCCCAGCAATGATAATCACAAATCGTGCTTCACTGCATCCCTAACCAACAGCAGTGCTGGGAAAAGTTTGCAGGATAGAGCAGATCAGTGCCACAGATACAGAGCTCAGAGTGCAGGCATTAGCAGAATCCTGATGTCCTCATATCTTCTTTAACGCAAATCTTTGGTGATGGCTGATTGACAATCGAGTAAGTATCTGCTGAGGATTTTAGGACTAAACCCACTGAAAATCTTCACATTGAATGCTACTAATCAGAATTAATAGTTTTATCACCTCAACAATGTAAGTGTTGTAGATTTGCGTATCTTAAGTATTTATCAGGAGAAGGGAGTGTCGGACTATGTTCTCCTAGAGGAATCTGGAACCTCAGCCATTACTTCGGTATTCCAACTGCTCTCTTCACAGTAAGAGTGAAAGACAAGAGAAAAGCTGAAATGCTGGAGAAGACAGTATATCCTATGTCAGATCTGAAGTTCCCCCTCAAAGATTTTTTTATGTAGGAAAACTATGCCAAAGAGGGATATCAGTATGATTTTACATCGTACTCACATCTGTGGAGCGGATCTCAGCATGTCAGCACCCAGAGACCTTTCTGGCACTAAACCCCAATCCATGCCAGAAGCAGGTCTAAACTGTCTGCAGCCACCATCTCACGTTCCTGGCAAAAAATCACTGCAGCAGTTTATGAGCTGTTAGCTATTTGCTAGTGCCTCTCTCTAGAAATGAGAACGACTTCAACAGTGGGTTTTGCAATAAAGTGCCTGTTGTACATAGAGGTGCCTTGATGAAGAGTTTGTGAGCCTAAGTGACAGTGCTGGCTGCCAGGTTAACCCTGAAGATGCCAGGGCTTCTTCACTTGTAGCCATCAGGTTATATGGCTGAGTCCCGAGTTAGCTATAGCAAGGTATTCTCATTTAGGTTGGGAGAATCATAGCCTGGATATCATACTTTGTCTTCTACTGTTGGTGATGAGTTCTGCAGCGCTGCTTTTACTTTAGCAGTTCACCACAATAATTGTAATCACAAAAAAACCTAGAACCCAAAACTTTAAGGATAGGGGCAGGTTCTTTTAAAAATAAAAGGATGGAAAGAGTTGCAAAACTGTTGACAAGATTTTTCTGACCACCAGCATAATTTTTCTGAGCAGTAGTTTGACAATGAGTATTGCCATGATTTTTCTTTTTCCGGATACATTTCTTTGTCTTGCCTTTCTGTTCTGGGATTGCCAAAATTCCCACTGCAAATTGTTGTCTAAGTTATTCTATTAGAAAGATGTTACAGTTGCAAACAATAATTGGTTCCTTTATTTAAATGGGAGATCTGGTTACTCAGGATATGGAGAAGGCTGAAATACTCAGTGACTTCTTTGCCTCAGTCTTCACCAGAAAGTGCTCCAACCACACTGCCCAAGATGCTGAAGGCAAAGATGGGGACTGGGAGAATGAAGAACTGTCCATTGTAGGAGAAGATCAGGTTTGAGACCTGAAGGAACCTGAAGGTGTACAAGTCCACAGGACCTCATGAGATGCATCCATAGGCCCTGAGGGAACTGGTGGGTGAAGTGGCTAAGACACTATCCATCACATTAGAGAAGTCAGGGCAGTCCAGTGAAGTTACTGCTGACTGGAAAAGGGGAAACATAATCCCCATTTTTAAAAAGGGGAAAAAGGAGGAACCAGGGAGCTACAGGCCAGTCAATCTCACCTCTGTGCCTGACAAGATCAGGGAGTGGATCCTCCTGGAAACTATGCTAGGGCACATGGAAAATAAGGAGGTGATTAGTGACAACCAACATGGCTTTACTAAGGGCAAATTGTGCCTGACAAATCTGGTGGCTTTCGATGACAGGGTTACAGTGTTGGTGGGTAAGGGAAGACCAACTGACGTCATCTACGTGGACTTGTGCAAATCATTTGACACTGTCCTGCACAACATTTTTGTCTCTAAATGGGAGAGAAGTGGATTTGATGGATGGTCCACTCAGTGGGTAAGGAACTGGCTGGATGCCAGCAGTCCGAGGGTTTCAGTCAGTGGAGACCAGTGACGAGTGGTGTTCCTCAGGGCTTGGTATTGGGACCACTGCTATTGGCAACATGGACAGTGGGATTGAGTGCACCCTCATCAGGTTTGCTGATGACACTCAGAAGCTGTGTGGTGCAGTCAATACCCTGGAGGGGAGGGATGCCATTCAGAGGGACCTTCACAGGCTTGAAAGGTGGGCCCATGCAAACTTCATGAAGTTCAACAAGGCCAAGTGCAAGGTCCTGCACATGAGTCAGGGCAATCCCAAGCACAAATACAGGCTGGGCGGTGAGTGGATTGAGAGCAGCCCTGCTGAGAAGGATTGGGGGTGTTGGTTGACAAGGAGCTCAACATGACCCAGCAATGTGAGCTTATAACCCA